CTGGTGGACGTGCACTGAGGCCACCACACTGTAGGCCTGTGCTAGTCCACATCCTGTGTATTTGTGATGCCCTCTGGAATATGCCCTAGGAAACCTCCCAAGATCCAGATCGAGGAGTTGTGCCTGAAATAGACTCCTGCACTAGAACGAATCTAGTGGTGCTCTTGTACACCAAAAAAGCAGCCAACATCGTGTGCTACAGTACAAATATTGTGCCAGTACAGTCTGCATAAATGCTCATAGTAACCCTAACATTTCTCTTTATAGATCAAGAAACTGAAGTGCTTCAAGATTAGGTAATTTGTCCAAAAAAAAAAAAAAACAGTAAGTGGTCATGATGGATTTAAGAACTAAGGTGTAAACTTTAAAACCTTGTGCTTAGCTATAGCCTATACAACTGTAGCCAAAACAGAAAGCAAAAGCAAAGCAATCCATGTCCCTCCCTCCCTCCCACTTCCTCATCCCCTCCTTCCTGGAGATGCTGCAGCTGGAGCCCAGGGCTTTGCCTATGCTGTTGTAACACTGAGCGGTATTTCTAGCCCCAGATATTCTGTCAACCATTTAATTTTCTTAATAATAGCCAGAGGGCTGTGGCTATACACTGCCTTTGTTATCAAAAATTACCTGGACAGCTTTTGAAAATGTAGGGTTCAGGCTTCCACATCAAACTTAGAAAAGTAATAATATCTGTGGTTAGAACATAAAAATCAAGGTTTGGGAAAGTCCATTGGATGAGTCTCTAGAGTATCGAGGCTTGAAAATTACTGCTCTAATATACATACAAATGTGTTGGTTAAAGTTCTCACATGGGTGTGTATTAGGCTCAAATGAAGCTTCTTGCAGTAAACTTCTGTGAGGAACCTAGGTAAATGTCCCATCTAGTGCACTGATATATAGGATATGAATGTCCTGAGATGCAATAGAGATCACAAAAACTACCGCCTTTAGGGACAAAGCAGAAAAGTCTAGGCAAATAAGACTGGGCTATACACTCCACTTAAATATATTAGATTCCATCAACTGTTCAAGTTGTCAGGGCCCTTCATTTTAAGTGCACTCTGGGAAAAAAAAAAAAAAACACTCCCAAAGTCTATTGCTTTTCACATCACTGGGACCAAATACCTAACAGAGACAACGTTAGGAGGGAGAAGCTGTTTAGTTTAGTTCATTTCCAACAAGGTAGGAAGAGCAAGATAGACTGTGGCAGTTTACACCAGGACAGACCGGGAAACAGCGCTCAGCTGCCTCTCCTTTTTCCCCACCCACAGAATGGAGACACCCAGGTTGAAGGCAGATTTTTCTCTACAGTTAATTCTCTCTAGAAACATTCTCAAATATGTGCCTAGATGTGTCCCTGTCTCTCTTATGTCATTTAAAATGCATATGACAAGATTAACAGTCACATAAGCCTCAGGCAGAGGTTGTGTTATATTTGCTGTCCAAACAACCCAGTGAAGTGAAAAAGACAGAAGAGAGACTAGTGCCCCCAGGAAAGAAGGAAGCCCAAAAGTGTCAGAACTTTCGTTCTAGAAGAAGTACCTTCAAACGAGGCAGCATGGCTGTTGAGACAGCAGAAATTTATCCTGAGGAGCCACTTTCTTCCAGGGCTTGTCCACCTTCACAATAGCAGAATCCGGGGAACATCCCACCTGCCCTTGAGATCACGGAAGAGGATAAACACTTCTTCCTTGTCTAAGAAAGAATTCTAGGAGAGACAAGCTAAGATGATGTCTGGGAAGCAAGGGGAGTAGTACTCAACAGGGTTTCACCTCTACCTTGGGGACAATTGTGACAGCAGAGACTGTCAGAAGACACTGTCAGGGACTCTAGAGTCTGTTTAAACACCTTTATTTTCCAGGAGAAGAGTGGCTGTTGTACAGGCCTACCATGACGGTTTCAATCCACAGCAGCTGGATACACGGCAGTATCTTTTCTCTACTTTCCATGCTTCCCATTAAGAGGCAGGTGTTTATGGGCTGGGTTATATCAAGGCAACCATGTATATGAGTGCATTTAGGAAAAATTCACCACACATATCCAAGGAAAGCACAATTTAGAAAAGACCCAAGGAAGCCTTAGTCCCTACAGCAGTAATTTCAAACCAAGTTAACAAATTATAAGATTCAAATGTCCAGTTTTCAAGCAATGCTAAGATGCGGAAGCATAAAAAGAAACAGGAAGTCATGGCCTATTAAAAGGAACAAATCTGGGCTGAGTAGAGTTTAGTCAGGAAAGGGCTACTTTGCAAACATGAGGAGACTTGAGTTTGAACCCTGGAACCCATGTTTTGTTTTGTTTTGTTTTTTAAAAAAAAAGCCAGGTGCAGTAGCATGTGTTGTAATCCCAGCACTTAGGAAGGCAAAGACAAGCAAATGCCTGGGACTCCCTGGTTTAGCCTATGTAGCAAGTTCCAAGCAAGCAAGAGACCCTAGGTTAAGAAAAAATCAAGGTGGATGGCCTGAGGTTGTACTCTGGTCTCCACATGCATGTACACATGAGTAAGTGTGTATAGCCCACACACACACACACACACACACACACACACACACACACACACAAAGTGGGGACAAATTAATCAATAATAACAATCTCTAAAAAAGCCTTTAGCATTAGACTTCAAAACTGTTGGTCTCAAGTGTAGAGAACTAAAGGCATATCAACAGTCTGCCCAAAGAGAACGAGAAAATAATAGAGGATGAGTAGCTCTCATAATGCAATTGCTTAGTGTG